TTTCAGAGCCAAATCTCTTCTCCACCTCCTTTTAGCTGTGGGGCCAGGGACAAATGCATTACCTGAGTTAAAACCTCAGTTACATTTTTTTTTTAACTGAAATAATAATGCCACTGCTCAGGGTGTCACTGGGACTAAGCGACATCATACATCCACATATCAGGCTTCACTTTTCTGTGGCTATTTAATGGCAGTTGGATACTTCTTAGTGGCACCATAAAGAAAAAAACCCTCATGTCAATCAGTGTCATGATCTGGCCGCTCCGGAGCCTGTCAGGACAGGGAGTGGGTCAGCAGGGCTGACTCTTGTCCTGTCTCACTGCCATGAGGCCAGTTACACAGAGTGAGAGTTCCAGAGTCCACCAAAGGGGGCACCATCCAGTTCTGTACATCCAAAGGGATGATCTCTTCCACTTCCCGCCTTCTGAAGAAAGTTTCTTGAAAATACATGAGCGCACACATACCTATATACATATGCACGCACACACAAAACTGAACACCAGGAAGGCAGAAGAGAAAGGGAAAAAAGGGTTAAGATAGTAGACAAAATTATATAATTGGCCCCTACACCATCAATAATATTGAATGCATTTCCCAAATGCCATGTAGCTTTCTTTTTTTTTATTTTATTTTTTTATTGTTAGTTTCAGGTGTGCAGAACAATGCAATAGTTACCCTTTTCACCCTCACAAAGTAACAACCCCCCTCCCCCATCTACTGCCCTCCCACCCCCGATATCATGCTTATCTATTACAATTCCATTGATTCCATTTCCCGCCTCTACACCGACTATGAAGTGGTCTCCCCAACAGGACATGAGTCCATCTGGCCCCCTAAGAAATATTTACAACATTATTGATTATATTCCTCAGACTGTCTTTTTCTATCCCTGAGGCCATATAGTAATTACCAATTTGTATTGTCTCATCGAACTGAGAGTTGCTAGTTGGGAGGGGGTAAGGATGAAGGAGAAGTGGAAGGGAAGAGACCATGTAGCTTTCTTATTCTTAATCCCTGCTCTGTGAGCTGGGATTTTATCTCTGGCTTAGCAGAGAACACTAGCCTCCCTCAGCCTCCCAGCCTCAGATTTCTCAGCTTCCAGAACTGGCCTGGGGTAACTATGGTGCACCCTGAGCATGTCCTGACTTGAACCATTTGCAGTGTTCACTTTTGAATAATGAACTACATATAAGGGAGGGAGCGGTGGAAAAGTCAGGCCCAACTTAGCAGCCAGACCCAAGAGATTCTGAACCCGAGGTCCTACCTACCCGAGGAGTTCAGGAGGGAAATAACGAAAGTAAAACCTAGTACCAAAGTTCCCATTAAGTGCCAGGCACAGTGCAGATACTATTATAGTAACACTTCAGAGTAAATGTTTTTCTCGATTTTATAATGAAGTAGAGTGATGAAGTAGTTTGCCTAGACAGCTAGTGGCTAGGATTTTAAACTAGGTCTTCCAGGCTCCAAAACCAGCTCCTCTCAACTACTCTAAATATAATTCCCCGGTACAGGCCAAAGGAGAGAGGCAAGAGCAAACCAAGGTCATGGCCAATAGCAAGGCCAGAGACCAGGTATGGAAAGGAGGACAGAGCCAAGAGCTCAAGGCTGATCAGAGGTAGTGATGCAAGACTTTCCTCATCTGTGAGATGAAACAATAATAGTATCTATCGTCAAGGGTTGTTTAAGGACTCAACCAGCTAATCCATGTAAAGCACTTGGCACAGTCCCTAGAACATACTAAGTGCTCAGTAAATATTGGCTGTTACTCTTAGCCCAGGCCCATGGTCATAAAGCATGGACAGAGACAACACATTTCTCCTTAAAGGCATTGGAGTGTCCTTGCTGACCTCTATCACCTCGGATCTGTGGCTTCTGAGGGTGTGGACTGTTTTACTCTTCTCTCCCTTTTCTTAAATTACATTTCTGTGTCACTGAAGAGTAACCTGTAGATGCCTCACTGTGTTTAGCTATCGAGCTGAGCCTCTACCCTTGGCAGAGAGAGAGAGTCGCACTTGAAACACAACCACATCTTTTGGACTTCGGAGTCAGGCTGACTTGGTCCAAATCCCAGCCCTGCCACTGTTGAGCTAAGTGGCCTGGAGCAAGTTAATCCATGCTCAGTGCTATGCATGTGTGACACAGGAATATGTCAAGCCCCTGGCACTGTCACAGGTGGTTCCAGGAATCGCCTTCTGACGGGAACACTCTTGTCTGAGAAGGGATTCCTCTGGGACTCGGCTTCTTCTAAGACTCTGGACCATCTTCCCATCTTCCCGCCTGGCAGCAGGGGTTTTCACTGCTCCCCTTCAGCAGAGGAAACAGTCCATGAGCTCTTTGAAGGGCTTCCCTCTACCTTCTCCCAGCTTCACCTTCCCTCTCCCCCCAAACCCCAGCATCTGTTGCCCAGACAGCTGCCAAGCTGTGCCCGAGTCTCTTTTCTCCCTGGGTTCATTTGATATGGTGCCACTTTGTTTTTGAAGAAAAGCTGGTATCAGTGCCGGGCGCTGGGGAGGCAGGTCCTGCCTCTGCCAACTGCCAGCCATGGTGCTCTCTCATCGTGGAGTCTCTCTCTTCTTGCCCTGGGAGCCCCAGGTGTTGCCATTACAGAGTGTCTCTTACCACATAGCTGCCACTGGGACCCTGTGGAGGTGCAGACAGCAAAACCCCAGACTTTCTGAGACCAGGGACTTGCCCTGAACGCGGCGCTACAATTTTGTTGAAAGGCCGGCAGTCATGTCTACCTTTCTTGATAAGAGTAGTTATTTTGCTTATAAAAACAGCGAGATGCTCCCGACGTTACCTTGCAGAGAGAAGGGGGGGGGGTCATTCCCATTTAGTGAGCTCTACTTTGTTTTAGGCACTATAGGAGGCTTTTGCTCGTGTTAACACTCTCCTAGCCATGCAAGGAAGGCCTGATCATGACACCTCTTTTATAGACGAGAAACCAAAATTGCACAGGTACCACTTCTAATCCTCACAACCATGGGCATTTTTATCTGCTTCCTACAGATGGAAAAACTGAAACGCAGAGAGGTTAAATAATTTGCCAACTGAAACTCAGAGAGGTTAAATAATTTGCCTGTGGTCATACAGCCGGAAAAGGAGCAGAGTAGAAATTGAAAGTGTGTTTAATTCAGGAATCCATAACAACATGTCACCACTTAAGGACAGTGTAAATAACAAGAGCTGAAGCAGTGTCTGAGAGGGAGAAAGGAAGCAGGCTTGTGACTGTTATTTGCTGCTCAACCAAGCTGGGAGTAGCAGTGGTCAGATGGGAAGCCTGGGTGCCTCGTCTGACCACTCCCTCTGCCTGTGTTATGAAAACCGTAGCCCCTAGCTCTTACGTTCCTCAAGGTGATGAAGGAATGAGCCAGATGCAAACCGTCCATGACGTTTGTTGCCCTTGCCACCTCGGAAACAGTGTATCTCAGGAGAAATGTGCAGCAGAATTTGCATGCTGGTAACCTAGAAAGATGTTTTGTTTTGACCCGTGGTATTTTTTAGAACTCCAGATTAATTGCTAACATTTTTAAAAAATGCAGCAAATTCACACAGAACTCCAGATTTCTAAATTATCTCGAAACATCTGAAGTTCTCACAGCCCTGGCCTCCGTCCCCCTATGGCCACCATTGGCTGGTGTCGTGCAGCGGCTGCTACCTTTGACCAGAAGGGACATTTCAACTTGCCACAGTCCCCACCACTCCAGTCTCCCAATAGCATCCTCCTACCAGTCCTCCTATATTAGAACTAGGAGGAAAGTGAACTTTCTTGTCCTCTATAAAGTGGGGAACACATTAAAAGGCAGGAAAGCAGAGAGCATGTTTCTATGTAAAAATAAATATTTCTGCATGTTTATCTACACCAAAAAATCCATAACCGAAGAAACAAACCTGGCCCTCCTCCCTTAATTTTGGAGTCTCTTCCTGGTTGTTGTTGGCATTTGAATTTAACACCATTTAAGCCACTTTTTCAGTCAGTGTCAGACGCAGCTGCCCATTGCAAGCCCAGCATCCGAGGCTGGCCTAGGGGCCCAGGTCCAGGACTGGTCCTCAGCCTCCTGCGTGTGCCCCGGGGCCTGCCGAAGCTTTCCCATCATGGTTTTGTTCTCTCTTCTTCTTTTGTCTTCTCTAGGTGTGCCCTTCCCAAAGAATTTCCTTCAGATCTGCAAGAAGATCCTGTGCCGCCTCTTCCGGGTCTTCGTCCACGTGTACATTCACCATTTCGACCGGGTCATCGTGATGGGTGCAGAGGCCCATGTCAACACCTGCTACAAACACTTCTATTACTTCGTCACAGAGATGAACCTCATAGACCGCAAGGAGCTTGAGCCCTTGGTAAGTGTCACCGCGCGGTGATGGCACCCGGGTCACCCTGAGGATCTCATCAGCCATTTGTCACAGTACACTTCGAGTCCCTTGCATAAATGCTCACTAAGGGCGAGTTTTTACCCAAAGGACTGCAGAATCAGACAGGCGTTAGAGGTCAGTTAAAGATGCAAAATGTCCTCGGCCACCAAACAGCCTCAACTTTCTCTCCAAGAGGTGGCAAAATGTAATGGGGTTGTAATGGTTTGGGCCAAGGGAGCAAGTGATAGCTTCAATTCTCAGCGCCCAAACCAGTCACCTACTTACTTAATCCTTTACATGGGCACCTTTGATCTCTTCAGTCATCTCTTACACTGTTACATTAACATTTCTTTTAATGTTTCTGATAAATAAATATTTAGCACCTACTGTGTGGCAGCTGCTAGGCAGGCAGGGTCAAATAAAACTGCCTCTGAGTAGCTTTTCCTCCAGAGAGAAAGACAGAAGTAAACCTTGCTCTGCATACTGAATCTCCTGTGACACCATTTTAATAGAATATATTAGAATCCAGGACATTTGATATAAAACTTTACTATTATCATTTAGGTGAATGGGGACTACATTCGTTTTCTTCCTAAGTTAGTTTTACAGTTGGACTCAGGACTCAGTCTGTGCTTTAGAAGTCAAGGACCCCGAAAAACCCCATCATCTTTTCTCACATGTGGTATCTTAACGTGGACGCCCCCATCACAGCTATTTCTAGTAAGATCTATTGAGCACTTTATTAGCCAGCATAACACAGTGCTCTATAATGAAATCATGCTTTTGTCTTGAAACAGTTACAGTTTTGCTACATGTAACTGATAAACTAAATTTCATTGAAGTCCACCTGAATAATATCCAGAACACAGCGGCCAGGCTGTCATCTTTTGCTACCCTATCTTTCTCTTTATGTACAGGTTTTTAAATATGTGTTTTATTATTATTTGTGTATGGTGAGGCCAACAGATCAGGAGCTGATTGCCATTGAAAAGATAGTTTGTAATACTCACAGTTCCCAAGAAAAGGTGCACACCCTGTCATGGTGCCATGGGAAGCAGCTGGGTTGGTCAGAGGCAGAGGGAGCAGGGAAATGTCAGCAAGAGTCTTTGTTGTGGTTTCCTGGGAAGGAATGGGTGAAGCGCGTAGCAGGTTTAAGGTTGACTAATCTGAATAATTTCAGTGGGCTCTGGGGCCGAGGGGCTGCCCAGGTTGCCTGGTACCTGGCCGTGGGGTGAGTAAGAAAGGGGAATAGCGGCCCCAAGTGTGAGAGGCAATAGAGGAGATGGTTGGGGTGGATTTGTTGGTTTGTAGTGGTTGGTGGGTAAACAGCTTGAGAGTGAGTTGTTTGTTATCTCTAGAAATTGGCAAGCTCTGGGAGGTGCAGTCCCTCCAGGGTCAGCAAGGTCCCAGAGGCTAAAGAATCAACATATAAAAAATAAAAGAGATGTTTAATATAGTACAGTATCTGTATCTGGCAAAAAAATATTGAATTTTATGTATCACATTTAGAGTTTCTGAACTGGAACTCTGTTCTTGTACTATGAGAGTACATGGCAAAAAAATTTTTCTTTGCATCACTCAAGAGCTCTGGAATAAAGCAAGACTTTCTGGGTACAACTGGGGTATATCATTGCATAAAGAAGTGCTGATTTTCTTTATTTTCTTTCACAACAGCTTCCTGAGAGCTTTGGGGGGCAGGAACTAAGTTGTCTCTGAATTTGGTTGGACAGCTAGTATGGGAAGGAGCTGAAATGCTGAAACACATGATTTGAGTTTTGCTGGTTTGTCCTGTATGAAGGCTGTTGTGGGTAAACAATCACTTGAAGAAGAAAAGGTTGTGCAAACGCCTCCAAGGAGTTAAAATACTGGACAGAGTGATAAAGCTAATTTCAGAAAATATCAAGGACAAAGGAAAGAGTGGCTAGGGGCCACACAAATGAAGAGAGTAGAGAAACCATTGGGATTTCATAGAGGACATGGTTCTGCTTCTGGGAGTTTAGTTCCGTTCTCTTCCATTGACATGTGCAGGTGGAAGGGAAGTACCTTCCCCAAAGGTCTACCAGAAGGAAGAGAGAGCACGCAGAGTGTTGGTTTCGCTGAGCTAAAGGAGCAGACATATCAGCTGGATAGATCTGGAAGTCAGCTGCTTCTTAACATACAGAAATATAAAGGCCATTGTAGGACAAAGCTGAGTGTAAATCAGCAAGCAGAGAAAGCTCTTCTTTGTCATAAGACAACTGTTATTTTCTGAAGAAGGGCCACAGGGATTCTCAGACCTGGCAGTGCCAGGAGCTGACTGGAGTCTCAGAGTCACAGACAGGACCCCCAAAACCCTATCTTCTAGATAAGAGCCTCTTTGGGAAAAGACTACAATTGGGATTATTAACAGGGGAAATGAGCAAGAAGAGTATCCATTGTTCTTGTTTTTCAGAACTTTGTTGTTCTTTAAGTCTTGCTTGAAAACAGTATCCTTCCTACCTTTATGCTCTGTTAATCATGATTGTAGGAAGGTTAGTTTTAATGCTTTTACATATTAATAACAAGTGTTTGTAATGCCTAATTTCTGAAATTATATGTTCATTTTACTCAAAGCAAAACCTATAAAGTAACAGAAAAAGACATTGAGAATGTTTCTGAGGATAATAATCATATAATGTCAGGCTCTGGATACTTAGTCCAGTGCCCACTAACAATGGTGTACCTGTGGATTGTTATTACTGAAATGAGCACTTTCAACAGTTGATAGTGTTAAAATACCTAACTTCTAAGTCTGCTGTTGCAATGCACATATTAGAATCAGTCATAGCATATCAAATCAGCATGTTTTCATTTGGTTTGCACGTATCAAGTATATATATGCAAAGCAAGTTCTAAGTGCATAAGATATGCTTTTGAGAATTTACAAACACACCCTAAAAAATGTAAAATAATGATTGTTGTTCATCTTCAGCCCTTGAAGGATGATGAAGGAGTCAGGCATTTGGCTTCACATTCTAGTTGTACATTCTTTAGACTCTAATGCAGCTAGGGGCCAGAGGGCAGCGTTTGTCCGGCCACTTTCCCTTAGAACCTCAGCATTCCCAGAGTTCCCACACCTCCAGTAGGACATTCCTGGTGTCCTGCCTTTGGATTCCACAGTGTGGAATCAGAGACCCCACCTCGTGTTTTCCTCCGCCATGCTTTCACACTCCTCTGCCCCCAGGGATCACCCTGCTGCTTTGGTCTCATGCTGACTGGGTGTCTGGCACACTGGCTGTGTTGAGCATCCGGCCCCCCACAAGGGGAGAGATTGTGTCTCAGACAGTGCTGGAGACGAGGCTCAACTCTCTGGGTTCAAACTCTGGACCCATCCTTTACTAACCTGCAAGCTTGAACAAGATAGTTGGCTATTCAAAGCCTCATTTTCCTCATTCATCGACTGAGTATACTAATAGGATTTTTGTAAAAATTGCATGGGTTAGTCATACAGTAAGTGCTTAAGAAGTGGTAGTTGTTAAGTCACATACGAATGTAAACTAGCTGGCATGTAGTAAGTAAGCAGAGGTACCCTAATGCTCACTTCCCTAGGTCCCATGGCCTTTTGCCATCTTAGTGACCCCCTAGGTAGCCTTGTAGCCAACGTAGTTCATTGTATCAGTGTCTCGCACTTGGAAGACTGGGAGTGTACAAGACATGAGCTTGCATTGCCCATGTTGCCTAATACTTAATAAATGCTAACAGTATTTTTGAATTGAGAAGAGTACTTTATGAATGACGCACCTCCATTCAAAGGGATGACACACCAAACGTTCCTTCCTTGGCACCTCCCTCACCTCAGAACCTACCTGCAGGCCTCCATTTATCCATTGTTGGAAGCAATGCTTCATGCTATTGGATTAGCAATAGAGATTAAAAGCACAATAAGACACAGAGCAGTGAAGCAATGCATCTCAGTCTTAGGCCTGACAGAGAAAGATGGGACTCCAGCTGCCAGTCAGTTCTCAGTTCCAGATTCCAACTAGGTCACTCAGGGATGTTAAATGCTCTCACACTGCCTGTCCTGGTGTGCCAGGCATAAGGTAACCAACCCTCCCAAGAGTTAGCTCTAAACATCTGTGTCCTTGGAAAACTCTCAGTCCCTGGCAAACTGGGACAGTCGGTCCCTTAAAGGCCTGTGAGTGGGAGTACAATTTGGAATTCAGAAGCTGGGAAGAGGTCATCCTGGCCAGTGCACTGAGGAAGGCCAGCACGGCCACCCGCCCACAGGGCTTGCCTCGTGGCTCCCACTGGGACCTGCTGGACAGCAGCAGCCTGGGAACCCAGGGAAACACATGCCATTTCATTTGGTCTCCAACAGGGAGGGGAGGCTGGAAGACTGACACACAGATGTGACAAATGATCCATTTTTCATGTAAATCAACAACTGAAGTTGACTTGAACTCAAGCAAGTTCACAGTTGGAGGAAAGGAGTCCAAATGATGATGGTAATTCAAACATGGGCCAGGCCTTGATTGAATAAGCAGGCTGCTGTCAGCCCTTGGCAGCCCGAGAGTCAGCTGACAGAACTGAGCCAATCAAAATTATCATTAGCAAGCCCAAGCAACCAGCAGTGTTTGGTTGGCTTTTCACTAAAAGCAAAAGCAGACTTAGAGAGGGCTGTTAGCAGTGCAGTAGCTAGGAAAAGATGAAATAATGCCATTTGCTATAAAATGGATGGATCTTGAGATTATTGTGCTAAGTGAAATAAGTCAGACAGAAAAAGTCGAGAAGCATATGATTTCACTGATATGTGGGATATAAAACTGAAAGCAACAACGGAACAAGACAAACAAAGAAACAAAAACTCATAAACAGGGACAATAGTTTAGTGGTTAACTGAGGGTAAGGGGAGAGGGAGGGAGTAGATGAGGGTAAACAGGGTCAAATATATGGCGATGGAAGGAGAACTGACTCTGGGTGGTGAGTATACAATGTGATATATAGATGATGCATTACAGAATTGTACACCT